AAAATAAATTCACCGTGAGATATATATATATATATATATATATATATATATATATATATATATATAAAATCAACTTCTTGTAGGGAGAAAAGCAAGTCAAGATAAATGTTTGGTGGGAGTGCTAACTTTGGCTATGACATTATCATAATATTACCTTAGATAGAGATAGTTGATTCAGTTTTGGGAATTTCCAAGGTGGCCCAAATGTATGTGTTAAAAGTTGTGTGTGGTTAGTTTGCTGTTAGCGCCTGGGGTGCTGCATTATGAATACTCAGACTTTGATAAACAGCCTGTGATTGCAACAATAATCTTGACGCAGAAAGAGAGCAGACAACTCTGTATCCACAAAGAAGTGGTTTTCTTATGTGAGAATGAAGAGTGTATGATTTGGGTCATTTTCAAAGAGAAATGTTGACTATTTGCTTCTGGTTATTAGCAATGAGCAAAGTGCTTTTCCTAATCTCATAGTTAATGTTTGCTTTGTTTGTTTGCTTTGTTTTTGCATTTCAGAAGCCCTTGATGTATAGTCCAAAAGGGAAAGTATTTTTATTTATTTATTTTTTAGACTTTAAGGGGTTTTAGGTTGAGTGGATATTTCAGGCTAAACTACTGAACAGAATTTCCTTCTTCAGAGTAATTATGAATGGAAAGAGACAAGTCAATGGAGATACATTATACAGGGAGAGAGATCTTTCAAGAAGACAATCTTGTTGATAAATTATATGCCACAATGAGTTAGCATGGGAATGTGTAGGGCATGTTCTGTCCTGGTCAGGTTTTTTCCCATTAATTAATTAATTTATTCACTTTACACCCCAATATCCATCCCCTATTTCTTCCATTCCCCCCTACCACAGCTCCTCCTCCAATGCCCCCTTCTCTGAGAAGAGGGAGTCCCCCCACCCCCTAGGTATTATCCATGGCATATCAAGTCTCTTCAGGACTAGATATATCCTCTCTCACTGAGGCCTGATAAGGTAGCCTAGTTAGGGAAATGGGATCCACAGATGTGGGGAAAATTTAAAAAAGGCCGCCACGGAGGCGCAAGCTTGCGCCGCCGTGGCGGGTCCCACATCAGGGAAGAAGATCCAGGGGCCTGAGGGCCTTGGCGGCGGCAGGCCCCAGTAACACGAGGAAGTCCTTGGTTCCAAAAAGGTTTATTGACATGACGGATAATAGATGGATCTAGGCATACCCCCAAAAACTCAGGGCCGTCCCGAGTTATATAGGGAGGGAGAAAGGGGGAGGATTAGGGGAGGATCTGGGGGAGGAATGTTTAATTTGCTCTGCCCTCTGGCCTTCATTAGTATGT